AAAGAAAGAAAGAAAATATTTAGTGAGCTCCTAACTGGTACAGTTAGGACTACATACTGAAAAAACTAACAAATTCCTAGCTTCTGAGAATTTACACAGTGAGAGAAACAAAAAATAAAAAGCTGTCTGGCAATGCTAATGGGCACTCAGAAAAACAGGAAGATAGCGTGGTTGGGTTGGGAGTGTCTACCTTTACAATGTCAAAAACCTACTTTTTTTAAAGGTGTGGAATTTCTCTAGAACTTCCTTATTTATCTTATTTATATTCAGATCACTACTTATTTTGATCACGAACTGAACAGAAACAAGCCCAAAGAGGGCACGATGATCCAGCCGCCCTACCTGCAATGTGCGGCCTGGTAGGATACTGTTCTAGAAGTAACTTGGGCTTTTCGAATCCATCCACTTCTTGCAGGCGACTCTCTAGTTCCTTAAGCTTTAACCTCTTCATCGTTTTCTCTTTATTTTAAAGTTCGGGCTCCTGGGACTTAACAGCACAGGACCTGCAGGGAAGTCTACCTAACCCGAAACTCCCCAGCGGTGCAGGCGAGGGTGGGGTGGAAGGTCGGGGACAGACTATTAAGGACTCAGCGAGGAAGTCCCACGGGCCTCGCGGGGATTGCCGCCCGTGGAACCTAGGAGTTCCCGGAAAGCAATCCGAGACAGGAGCCGCTCCTCGCGGCCCCTCCCCGCAGCGCCGGAAGTGCCGACACGCACGCGCACCCTCTACCGGGTGTCGAGCTGCAACCACTGCCTAGCGCCTGGGTTCCGACGAGGACGCGAGTGATTATTTTGGTCCTCGTGGGCGCCATAGGAAGAAGCCGGCTCGGTCGGCGGTCAGAAACCAGCCTTGGCCAAGCCTGGCAACGCCAGCTTTGTCTATAGTATCTATAGACCTGCAAGGCATGGGGAAAGTGTTGAAGGCGATATAGAACACCAGGCCAGTGTGACCCACGCCTCAGAAAGTAGCAGTCTACACCTACCTCTGCGTCCTCCATTCGAATGCTCGGCTTTAACTTCGTCCTTTTTTCTGAGACATCGAGTTTCTTAGCACTTACAGATGTCAGTGAAGCCAGAAGAAACGTCAGAAGAGATTTAAAAAGAAATAATATGTCGGCACGGGTGGTGTTCATTTTAGTTCCTCATTCAGATTCTTTGGGTTTGAGGGCGGCCTGGTTTACAAAGAGAGTTCCAGACCAGGCAGGGCTACACAATGAACAAAGAATATGGTTGTGGTGTCAAAAGTAGGAAACACTATGGAACTTGTTATTCTAGAAACAGAAGTTATGGATTGGGGGGAAAAATGGAAGTAGGCACATAGCAGCAAATTTTAAAAATAATTATAATTATAAAAAGAAGAGTTAAGGTGATCAAGCTTGGATGGCTTTATTATTGGCGTTATTAGTCGTATTTTATTTGAGCTCAGGGCTTTGTGCATTCCTGCCAAGCTACTACTGAACTGCATTCCTAATGCTGCCACTGCTGCCTTCATCATCATCATCATCATCATCATCATCAAGATATAAGGAGACAAGAGCATGTCTAATAATACAATGTAGAAAATAGAAAGGGAAGTATTTAAAATACAGGAATAGAGGTGATGGTGACTTAATGCTTATAGGATATGCTGAAGAGGCAATGATAGGTGAATCTCTGTGAGTTCAAAGCCAGTCTAATCCATGCAGAGAGTTCTAGGCTGATCAAGACTACCTAGACCCTGTCTCAGGTGGTAAGCTTAGATACCCTGGAATCCTGAAATTTATCTTCCGACTTTCCCCACAAAGAAAATAATAAGTCAAATAAATTTTGTTTGTTTGTTTGTTTTTTCTTTTTTTGAGACAGGGTTTCTCTGTGTAGCCCGGACTGTCCTGGAACTCACTCTGTAGACCAGGCTGGCCTCGAACTCAGAAATCCACCTGCCTCTGCCTCCCAAGTGCTGGGATTAAAGGTGTGCGCCGCCACTGCCCGGCATAAAATTTTAAAAGAAAAAAGCGTGTTCCTTTAAAACAAAGAAAAGGGCTCGGCCATTAAGAGCACTCTACTCTTCCAGAGAACCTCTGGACAGATGGCTCACAACCATCTCTAATTGCAGTTGTAGGGGATCTGATATCCTCCTCTGGCCTCTGAAGGCACTGCGTGCATGTGGTGCACAGGCATATATGCAGACAAACCACCTATACACATTTAAAAAGTTCTTAAAAACAAAGAGAGAAAATATTGGACGCCTTTACAACCTTATTTTATTTACTTGTTTGTTTGTTTATATTGAGACAAAGCTTTGTTATAAGTCCATAGTTAGGATGGCCCCAAACTCACAGAGAACTGCCTGCCTCTGCTTCAGAGCGCTGGAATTAAAGGTATGTGCCACCATTCACAGCACATCTCAATCTTAAGGAGTCAGGACCCAGTACTTAAATGCAAGATTGCCCTTAATAGGTAGGATGACTTCTGTTTTCATTATTTTTTTTGAAAAAGGAGTAAAAGACTGATGAAGTTGAAAATTAAGATTATTTTCTATGAGAAGTACATTTCACAGTTACGAGAATGAAATGAGTTACTATATATAAAGTCTTTAGCACATTGAGCTAGTACATTATGCTCTTGTAACAAATGTCTTGCCAATATTAGTTGGTGATGGTGTTATATATTGACAGGAAAGGATGATTGAAACTAGCTAAATATTAAAAAACCATTAGTCCACTAGAGATTAAAGTCAACCTCTTTCTTTTGTTTCTTCTTCTCTTTCTAATTCTTCTTCTTCTTCTTCTTCTTCTTCTTCTTCTTCTTCTTCTTCTT